ATATTGAAGCAGATGTTTTTTGTCTCTAAATATATATCCGTGTTATAGAAACGCGAATATGAATAGAAATTGAGTCCCTTTTAACAAATATCTAATCTATTCTCTTAAAATTGAATCAATCTTCTTATCTACTATAAATTATTATTGCTCGAAAAAAATTGTCTTTATAAAAGGTCTGAACGAGAAAAAAATTAAGAAATTATATCAGAATAAAAATTTTTATCGTAAAAACAGTTTTTTTTCAACAAAAGAAGAGTCACAAAATAAAATTTTTCTAAACATTAATAACAAATAAGAAAAAAAATTAATATTAATAACAAATAAGAAAAATAATTTTTTTCCCCAAAATTTTGAACGTTGAAATAAACGAAATTCATTTAAGTGTTTCTTTAAATATTTTTTCTTCGCAAGTACTAAAGAAAAATATGTCTCTCATTATCATTGCAAATGTCAAAAAAGTGACACATTTGTAATAAATGAAAAATTAAAATATTAAATAGTGGGTGTTAGGTGAAAAAAGTTTTTATAATAGATAATAATTAGCCGCGTAATCGAGTTGTCGACCTCCCGTTGTTAATTACGTGCAAATGCATTATATGAGACACGACTTTGTCGAACGAATGACGACCGGAAATGACTACCTGTCCTCAGAGTTACGCAAACCTACAATTATTCTTTAAAGAATCAGCGAAGGAGAGAGACAGAAAATTTATAAGAATGATGAAAAGAGAAAATATTTATGTGAAGAGACCGAAAATCTTTGTCACGTGCTTCAAAGAAACGTCTTGAGTTTCTAATTTCCATAATTAGATTTATCGCAATGCACTTAAAAATTATAAACGGCAATTTCACAAATTTAGACGTTTAATTATTTTTCAATTTGAAATATTTAATGATTTTGGAAATTAAATATTTCACATTAATATCGAAGTATTTAATAATTAAAGTATTTAACAATTAAAGTATTTAACAATTGAAATATTTGACGATTTAAATATTTAACATTTGAAATATTTGACGATTTAAATATTTAACGATTTAAGTATTTAACAATTGGAATTTTTAACATTCGAAATATTTAATAATATAAATATTTAACAATCGAAATATTTAACAATATAAGTATTTAACACTCGAAACATTTAACAATTTTTAAATTGAAGTAATTAACAATTGAAATATTTAACAATCGAAGTATTTAACACTCGGAATATTTAACAATTTTCAAATTGAAATGTTTGATGATTTAAATATTTAACAATCGAAATATTTAACGATTTAACTATTTAACAATTAGAATTTTTAACATTCGAAATATTTAACAATATAAGTATTTAACAATTGAAATATTTTTAAATTGAAATAATTAACAATTGAATTATTTAACAATCAAAGTATTTAACACTCGAAATATTTAACAATCGAAATATTTAACAGTTTTTAAATTGACTTAACAATTGTAATATTTAACAATTTGTAAATTGAAATTTTTATCAATCGAAATGTTAAACAATTCTTAAATCGATTTAACAATTGAAATGCTTAACAATCAAACTATTTAACAATTTAGAAATCAAAATCTCATTTCGTTTTTACAAAATTGAACTCCTTTATTTATAAAATCAATGGAAAGTTGTTATGAAATTGATATAAGTAGGGCATAAATTTACTCCTTATTTTAAGAAATCGTTACTTTCTTTTTTCTCAAAAAAAAAAAAAATATATGAGCGCACATGAAACGAAAGATGATAATTGTCGTTGTAATTAGAATTTCAGTGAAGATTACGTAATGTCGTGTGTTACATCTTCAACGCGAGACGTTCTTTGAATACAAAAACCGTGACTCGCTTCTGCTTTTCACCTCTGACCTTCGGGTTTGTATTACGAACATTACAGTGAAAGTTTCCCCTCTCTTAACAACAAATTAACGCGATGATATTTCGATAAGGATTATATATTCTTCTTCTTCTTCAGAAAAAAAAAAATTTTTTTTTACTCCTAATGAATTATATGGCAAGCGTATCGAAACATTTGAGAATATCAAAAAATTGCGCCGAAAGACGTGTCGAGGTAGGGGAAAAGAAAAAGGAAACTACTTGTTGAAAGGTTTTTCTTTTAATCCGAAAAACCTGTGACGAATTTGGAGAAAATGCTTCTCCTCCAGTGTATAGCATGTCAGATTGAAAGATGGTAGTGCCAGATAATTGGTCCATTAGAGCCGGAGAGCTAGAACCCTTGGAAATTCTTTTTTTCCCTCAATAGAAACTTGAAGAATTACTTTTTGAAAAGGAAATTTTTCACGAAGCGAATCCGTTAAATACAAAGTGCACTAATACGTAAGATTTTCCTTTGTCGGAAAACTTCCCAAGGGACAATTTTTACGTAATTTCAATCTTCATCACGCGATTTTTGCTTCTTTTTTTTTGAAAAATTGTTTCGTATAACTTTAAAAATTGTTTCACAACTTAAAAAATCAAAAATCACAATAATCCAAGTTACAGAGGAATTTAAAACAAAAATCTCACGTGAATGTGGATTATTATGTAAGAAGTTAACGAGTGACTCGTGAAGTGAGTATACACGATAATTGGAAGGGAAAAAAAGCAGAAGCTTTAAAAATTTACATGAACACAAATTAGTATTCACTATAAGGAATATCCGATTTCTATTTGACTGAAAAGTAATGAGCATTTTTTTTTCTCTCCTCAGTATTTACATAATTGCTACAATTTACATTTCTGAAATTCAACACTGTGACTCGAACACAGTACTGCTAATATATGTCTTTGGAATTATTACCGCGCAATTCTAAATTACGGAATGAAATGAAGAATATTGAAAATACGAGACATAACCTTGTATGAACGTGTAATAACACTTTTTTTTCGGTGTGTGGGTTGACATTTCGTAATGTACAACTGATGAATGAAGCGATATTTTGAAACTAATATTTCAAAGCAATATTTGAACCACAACCGAACACAACTAATAGATTTTATCACTCGAGCAAAATTTTGTTTTAATATTTCCATTAACGAAAAGAAGATTAGAATCTGAAAATGTAAATCAGTTCATTACGAATGAAAATTGTTTCTTTGTTTCTGAGAATGAAGTTCGATATTAGTGAAAGATATTTTAATTGGTATTCTTAATTCGCGTAGCAAACATGTGTGTGTGCATTATACAAAACTTTAATAAATGACTTGAGATGAAAGTAACCAATTTCTAATTTCCTCTTTCTTTTTTTTTGTAAGTTATACACTTTCTGTTTCACTTTCTTTCGTTCAATTTAGTGAAGGTTGAATATCCGGTTTTAGAATCTCGTAATAAGATATCCAGCTGTGGCAGTTCACAAACTTCACTCTTCGATAATAGAAGAAGTGACATTTATTGGAAGCAGACCTTCCAACAGATCCTAAATTTTCTTTTTTCCTTCCCACAGGACTGAAGTTTGAGACTAATTTTAGCTAAACAGCTGTGATAATTTGTATACTTTGGTATTTTTTTGAAGATTTTTCAAGCGAAAAAAAAGATTTTTTTTCGAATTCGAAACCAGAGTGTCAGTTTTCCTAAATAGCCTCGTTATAATGATACTGATCGTGGAATCTCTTTTTTAACATTGAGAATAATGTATTTTGCGGCCTTGGGAAAAAAGTGTTCCGGCTTCTACTTTCTCAACTTGGCGCCATCACCTTTGTTGGTCGTATATTAAACTTTTGAGAAAGCGATTGCGTCCCTCTCGATTCACCCGGATGTTTAAAGATGGGACGGATTTGGGATGGACCAAAAATTCAGAAATTTTGAGGATACGAAACGAAAAGAGTTTCGTAATTGTAGTCGCAAGAGTTGAAGTATTTGTGAAAAAAAAGAATTATTTTCAAATTCTGAAATTAATGTCCAAGAAATAAATTCTAAATGGACATGAATAATGTCGTCATTGTATGACAAAATTGGTCGATAGGTTCAAGGGCGATCTTTACATATGGCTCTTAATGACTTTAGTATAGAATGACTAAACTTCCGGCTTTTATTTTGACCTTTGATTTAGAATACGAAATCCGGTTCATACATCTTGGCAAAGAGTTCATTGACAGACCTCGAGGCACACTGATCTAACAACCAATTATCAATTGCTCCAATCATACTCTATTATTTTCATATTCAGACTCTCCATCGTCTTTTGAAGCCCTTTAAAGAGCACTGAAGGGGAGTCTGATTGACTAAAAGTGTTTCTTGATTGTTTCAAATGAAGGGCAAACATATATCTGGTAAAACTCTTTTTACAGTGCACGAGGAACCCTCAACTGAATTCATTGTCAAATTTTCTTTGTTCGCTATATTGTACCGATTTAAAGCTGTTTCTTGATAAATATTACAGATGTTAAAAAAGAATTTGTGAGTTTCTTTTTATCAAATTCGATAAAAAAGATTTGAGAGTTGTTATCAATCTACAGCATATCTTATGCTGATGATAAATTTTTGAATATCCAAGTTTTATTACGCTTTTGGTTTTATTATAGAGACAGAAAAGTTGTATAATGAGTTATATTGGCATTAGCGGGAAACTCATAAAGCGGTTTTATGACGAAGGATTTTGATTGCATACTCAAGCGGGAATTATCGTACGATCGAGGAGAAATCGTACCAGGAGCAAAAAAAATATGTTTCTATTACGATGTAATTGCAAGCGAGGCTGTTAGAATATTGTTTCTAGACACCTATTCATTTTTTTCTGTCTATAAATGCGGGAGTGCAAACAAACAAAATCCGTTTCGGAGACCTTAGTCTCCGAAACGGATTTTGTTTGTTTGCACCTAGACGACTTGAAATTAGGGGTACTGGCTAAAAATGTTGGTCAATGTAAGAACCTAGTGAAACTCTGCTAAAAACCTTGGAGTTTATGCGGATCACTAGATTTTTTTCTCAGTAGAATTTAGATAAACCTTAATTTATCTAGTATCGAAGACTTGAACTAACGTGAACAATATTTTTTGTTACAGAATGCTGCTCCATCGAAGAAAGATCCTGCATCGAACACAAATGGCAATGGTCACGCGCCTCTGCGTCGGAGTTACACATCCCTGGTGAATCTTATCGAGCAGCACAGGAAGCTTGACCGCAGCGTGAGTGAGCCGACCTCACGCTACAAGACCGAGCTCTGTCGACCGTTTGAAGAGAGTGGCGTCTGCAAGTACGGCGACAAGTGCCAATTCGCCCACGGCTTCAATGAACTCAGAAATCTCGCACGTCATCCAAAGTACAAGACCGAACTCTGCCGCACCTTTCACACGATAGGCTTCTGCCCCTACGGGCCCCGCTGTCACTTCGTGCACAACTTCGAGGAATTGTGCACGATGCACAATCAAAAAGTTAGCGCTCAGCTTGGCACCACACCAACAAACATAATGGGCCTCAATCCCCTAATCGCCGGCAATGCTCCCGCAACAAACGTCAGTGTCAGTCTCCTTGAGCAAATCGCAACATCGCCCCAGGTTGCTGCCGTTGCTGCCGCGGCCGCCGCTGCCAGTACACCACTCATGCGAGCAAACTCACTCAGTCTCGGAACACCCGCTGCCACTTCGTACAATCAGCCACTCCTCAGGACCAACTCGTTGACCCTGGCGAACATCACCCACCATCACCTTCATCAACAACACCAGCAGCAGCAGCAGCACCACCACCACCAACACCACCAACAACAACAACAACAACACTCCACAAGTTCCGTGATTGGTGCCCCAAGACCAAAGCCCTTGAACCTCAGTCCCACTTTCTCCCTCGGCAGTACCGCCGACTCCATTTCGCCATCCTCGAGTCTCAGTCAATCGCCAACAAATTCAATGGCCAGCTTCTTCAGTGACGATCAAACCAACATCATTGCACCAACACCATTCAGTTTTGGCCAGGACTTTGGCCTCCTAGCAACGAGACAAAGTCCCAGTCCCCAAGGCATTTGCAGTCCAATTTCCGACGATCTCACACCACGAACACCATCACCACTCTCATCAAACGGCGAGTCCCGACTTCCCGTCTTCAACAGGATCAGCAGCACTCGCTCAACTTTCGAGAACCTCAAAATCTAATCTTTTCCACTAAAAAAAAAATCCCAACTACTAAAATCCGAAAAATCCGAAAGCCCCACCCCCAAGCGATAATATCGAGAAGTAACTAAAAAAAAAGAGGGAAAAATAGAATTCCTCTGATCTCGTTTCTTCCTTCTCGAACTTAACCCTTGTCGGTGGGATTTCCTCCATTTCGGGGCAGGTGAGAAGTTGCAATATTTCAAGAAAAATAATAACCTCTTCTAAATAGAGCGTTCCGCTGTCTTTTTTTTTTAATTTAACAAAGATTTGGTTAAAGGGATAAAAAACTCCCGATTGTCTTCCAAATGCGAAAGAGTAGAGAAAGTGTGATACGTGTGAATGTGTTGCGTGAAAAGAGAGAGAGAGAGAGAATGCGCGAGAGTGACAGTGGAAACTTATTAACAGTGGGCCTGTTAATAAACGAATAAAGAAACAAATATCAACTATATAGAATTAAAAATTAGATTTCTAAAAAAATGGTTTTTTGAAAAATAACTCCAAAGTTTAACGGTGGAGTTTTTTTTTTCGCTTTTTAATTGCGGGAGTGAACCAAGCCATGTCGCGCATTCTCGACACGTAAAACGCCATAGAGTGCGAAGGGGAGGTCATTAAATATTCGTGGTAACATGTTCTTTCCCATAAAAAAAAAATGTGATATGTAACTATTGCAATAGAAATATTTACTTTAATTGAAGAATATTCTATTTCTAACGAGATAGGAGAGCATGGTATATAAACCCGTGCGACTTTCAATGGAGAATTTTTTCACCCATTTAATTGCCATTTTCAAGTTTTTAATTTGACAATTGGCTTTTTTAATTTCTTTTTTGAAATTCGATTGCCTTTTTTAAATTTCAATTGACTATTGAAATTACCATTGAAATTTCGATTGAAAAAATCACTCAATCGCTAAATACAAAATGCAAAACTAACAAAACTACACAATTCGAATCATTTCGAAAATTCCGATTTCAATTCGAAAAAAATATGTTTCGTTTGGAAAAAAACCCGAATTTTCTAAAAATTTGATTCTTTTTTTTAAACACTCGACATATTTTCAAAAAAAAAAAAATCGTTATTTCAAACATAAATTTTTTTTAAACCCTTTTATAAAAATTTGATGAAAAACAGATTGTTTTTTTGAATAAGAGTTTGAAATTTGGTTTTTTTTTTAAAAAATATTTAAGAATAATTTGGGATATTTTGCAAAAATGAAATTTTTGTAATATCCAGACTTGATTTCGAATGTGATGAAAATTGTGGTTTATATTTTAAATTTATTTCTAAATTTAAAATTCAAAAAAATGGTTTTGAAAAAAAATTCAATTGAATAAATTCGATAAATTGAATATATTCAGTAAATTGAGTTAAAATAATACTGTATTTTAAAAAAATTCAATAAATTCGATTGAATAAATTTAATGAATTCAATTGAATAAAATTTATCAATTCAATTGAATTGAATAAATTCAATAAATTAAATAAATTAAATTGAATTGATAAAATTCAATAAATTAAATTGATTTTAATTTAATGAATTCAATTAAATAATTTCAATAAATTGAATATATTCAGTAAATTGAATTGTAAAAACATTGCATTAAAAAAAATTCCTATAAATTCAATTGAATACATTTTATGAATTGAATTGAATAAATTCGATAAATTAAATTGAATAAATTCTATAAAATGAATTGAATTGATAAAATTCATCAAATGCAATGGAATAAATTCAATAAATTGAATTTTAAAAAAAATACAATAAATTTCAAAATTTCAATTGAAATAAAAAAATGAAAAATTCTTTTTTTTTTAATAAATCGGCAATAAAATGGTGCAAAATCTCTTCGTGGAGCGTCACACGGGAATAATAATTCAAGTAAACTAAAGTGCCTAAGTGACGTGGTTTTCGAAAATCGAATACATTCTGTACATATACTCTTTTCTTACGATACGAAGAAGAAAATGTTTTCGTTTAAATTATATACATGATTCAAAATGTTATAGATTTAGTTTATTAATATTATTTTCACGATTAACAATTATTATATTATTATATTATTATTATTATTATTATTATATTATTATTATTATAATTATTATATTATTATTATTATTATAATTATTATATTATTATACTATTAATATTATTATTATATTATTAATATTAATATTGATATTATTACTAATATTAATAATAATGTCAATATTATATTATTATTAATATTATTTATTAATATTATTATTATTATTATTATTACGACACTATTATTATGTTCGCATACGCGTCGGGTTTGAAAAAGCGCAGCATACTCTATTTATGATATCCCGTTAGCATGGTGTTTTGCAAAAGCGCTAAAATTTTTTTACGATGAGGGTGCGTTCTTATCTTTTTTTTTTGTTTGTTTTTTGATCATATTTAAATACGAAGTCACCTCTTGTCGGTATATAGAAAAAAAATCAAGTCAGTCCAATCATCCGTTTCCTCATTTATATTGTAACCATTACTACTACTCTAGGTGTACTGTTACGCTATTACATTATTACTTTCTATTATTACCATACGCCATTGTCACACTTCCATAACGGGTTAAATGTTTCACAAAACATTTTCTCAGACGATTTCTTGAAAAAAAAAAAATAATTTCGCAATTTATGAAAAATGAAAATAATCTCCAGAATATTTTGAGTTAATTTAGTAGATTATTTTTTATTATTTTATTATTATTATTATTAATATTATTATATTATTATTATTATATTATTATTATTATTATTATTATTATATTATATTATTTAATTATTTAATTTTTTCTATGTTATGAACCGTCTGTCTCTCCCGTTTGCTCTTTTGTTTCTTCCTAGGCTCGATTTTTGTCACTTTTTACCAAAATAATTATTTACTTTTAACGCTTTTTTATATTATAGTATTTAAGAGATCAGTTTTTTCTTTTCTTTTTTTCTCTCTTTTTTTCTTTTTTCTTTTCCTTTTTCTTAATTTTTCCTTTGCTTATTTTTTTCACACTATTTTTTTCTTTTTTCTTTCTTTTTTCTAATTTTTTTCGCTATTTTTTTCTGCCCCTATTTTATTATTTTCCTTTTTGTGATAAAATCTTCCTTTTTTAATTGGAGTCGCAGGGCAAAAATTTTTAATAGCCGAAGGAAGAAGGGAAATCGACAGACGGAAGCAAAGAAATATGGGAGAATGAAGAAAAAAGATTTTTTAAAATATTTCTTTCGTGAAAGATAGAGAGAGAGAGAGAGAGAGAGAGAGCGCGTGCTTGAAAAAGTGTCTCGGAAAATAATTATTTTTTAAATGTATTTAAGCGGAAAAGAACTGATTCGCAATTCGTTAGTTTCATTTTTTTTTTTTTTTGCCAAGATTATATATTTATGCCATGATCATGAAAAACAAGATAGAGAAAAAAAAATGGCGCCCCAGTACACTATGAGCGCGCGGGCTTGGTTGCATTATCCTTGCGAGTATATTTATATTTATAAATTATTATTTTTTTCTTCCTAATTTTTCCAGTTTATAATCTAATATATTTGAAAAATTAATTAAAATTTATCGCAGATGCAGAAAAATAATTTTTTTTTTCTGTAAACAAAATAATTACGTGCGTGCAGAATATAAACCCTCTGACTCGGATTTTTTTTCTTTTTCTTTTTATTGAAAGAATTGCATGCATCTGATTAATTTTAATGCGCGCGTCTTTTTCTTTATTTATTATTATTATATTATTATTATTTATTTATTTACTTTTATGTTTTTTTTTCTCTCAACTTGAAACGGAAAATAATTTAAAAGAAAACGAAAAAAAAGTACAAAAAAAAAAAAGAAACGTAAGGGTGACGCTCAAGCAGCGCGCTTTCCTGTTATAGACTTGACCACTTCTATATATAAATATATATAATATTATTAATAAATAATATACTATACGTGTACGTCTCTTTTTTAATTTAATATATTTATTTTTTCAAACGTATTTATATATTTATACAATATTTTATACTGCGTTCTTCACAGATATACACGAGCAAAAACTGAAAATAAAAAAAAAAAAAAAACAGGCGCATGTTATGTGTGCAAAGTCGATCTCTTGGCTCTCAGAGGAACCGGATGTTCTTTAGCTATTCTCGGAAGCCCTTTTTTTTGTCGAGACAGAATAATCATCCCTGCGATTTTTTTCATCAATTTCGAAATGTTAGTTTTAGTTTTTGAAAATATTCCTTTTTCTGTGTTTATAAAAAAAAAAACTGTGATCCATAGCAGGGATGATGTTTCTTTCAAAGAAAAATCTCTCTTCCCCCTCCATCACCATTTTTGCTCTAGTTTTTATATTTAAAAAACGTAAAGATATACTTAATTTCCCTTTGTGATATATAGAAACGCGTATACAATGCGTCGATCGTCCACGATTTTTTTTTTTTTTTGAGCGAGTATATGTGAGAGAAAGGAGATGACAAACAAAAAAAAAAAATTTATAATATCGAAGAAGTGTATTTTGTGAAAGAAAAAGAAAAATAAAAATTGTAAAAAGAAATCTCGTGCTTCCTTCGACGAATGAAAAAAAAAAACACTTCGAAAGTACAGTATAGTTAATACACAGACACACAAACATATGGGAGCCAACTGATAGGCTGGACGGAAGTCGTTCGAATCCAAAGTCAAAGTTTAGTTATGTGTATAAATGAAAGATCATATTTATTTCTGTATTCTGTGATAGGACTCGGTTTCAACTCTTTCCCATGTTCCCGGATGCGAGATTATATATATATTATTATTATTATTTTTTTTTTACGAAAGAGTCGAAATTCTTTTTTTTTTTGTTAATTAACCTTCTTTTTGTTCAAAAAAAGAAAAAAATTCCTTTTTGTTAATTCTTTGAATAAAAAAAAATTATTTTTAGTAAATAGTTTTTTATATTTATTAATATTATTATTATAATGGAAAGATCGAAGGTTCGAACGGCTTCTTCCTTGAAATCGCAACGGGACCACAAACGTGATAAAATAAAAATAAAAATGAAAAAAAAAACAAAAAAAGAACAGATTTTTTTTTCGTTGTCAAAGGAGAAAAAGTCAAGTCAGGCAATATAAGAAAAAAATAATGTTGAGAGTGAAGAAAATGATTTTTCAAAATTATTGTGATTTTTTTTTTTAAATAATATAATTGTGTGTATAATGAATGATAAGGGGAGATCTTTAACGATGTGCCTTAGCTGAATTTTGTTGGTTTGTGAGAAAAGAGAGAAAGAAGGGGAAAAAATAAGAAGAAGAAAAAAAGAAGAAACTTTTGGCATTCTCAGCAGATTATAGATTCTAAATATAGAAAATAGCTTTTTTTTGAATTGTGAAATAAAAGTTTTTTTATCGTATTCTTCTCACGCGGCTGGTGTCAGTTTATGTGAATTAATGTGAATTACTGCTGAGAATTAAATGATTTCGTTATTTTTCTCTCTTTCTTTCTTTCTTTCTCTCC